GCTCTACCTCGAGAGCCTTATCTTTGCCTTGCAGCGCATTCTTATACCGCTGCTCATCCATCTTTATCTGCTCAGCTAAGGCGTGGCGGGTCTTGAGCAGATCCTCATTCTTGGCTTTCAACCTCTTATTCTCCTCCTCGAGACGCCTATTGTCGCCCTCAAGCACAGGAATTGGGCGACCAGTGCTGTTCAGTGTTTCCTCGAGGAGAGGCACGACGGAGACCAAAGTCTGTAGCAAGAATAAAATTAAGTATAACACAAGGCAGGGTGCTCGAAGGTAAGGTTAAGAAGGAAATGTACCTGCGTCACCGTGCGAACGGCATACTCGGCCTGATTACGACGATTCACCGCCCAACGATGTGTATCGTCGAACGGTAGGAAGCTCATCAGCCGAGACACGGTCTCTCGGGGACCAGCAGACACAAGCGAAAGAGAAGAGTAAGAGGGAGGAGGATTCCCAGAAGAAGCAGCTTCGGGTTCGGGTCGCTTGGGGGAAGGATGAGGATTAGCGGAGTGGGGACCAGTCCCCTCAGTTCGGGGACATTTTTTGGAGACGTCACCCTCTTTTGACGAATGGGTGGAATGACGCTCAACTTGCCTGGGAGGAGGAGAAGGAGCTCGCTGCTTGCTCGAATGGGAGGATGCACCAACACCAGACTTCTCTGGTCGAGAGGGACCATCTTTGGTCGATGATTGGCCCTTGGTCTTCTCGACGTTGGCAGGAGTGTCCCTGTGAGCAGACCTCCTGTCACCAGATTTCTTCAAATCTGGCTTATGCAAAAATCCCTCTGCAAGAATAATAGAGTTAGTTAGAAGTCGATCAACAACAGTAAACAAATCTAAGGCATGATAATGATTTGAGCACCTGCTCGAGCTGTCTTATTTATTTCAGCAAGCTTAGGGTCGACACGAATTTGAAGAATGGTCTCGGCGAGAGGAGGAGAGAACGCCTTATGAGTCAATATTCCACAATAGTGGAGAAGATTATCATTCTCAAGGAGATGAGTCGAAGCAACAGGATTGGAATTCCATACTTGGATGCGACGGTCGAAGATGGGGTTAGCAGCAGGACGGGCAGGTTTTAGAGGTACTTCGGCAAGCCAGGGAATGGGCGCCCAAGGATAAGGCTGAGGAGGACGAACATATACAAACTGGTCTTTCCATCTCGGAACATTAGATGGTCGATCAGTAATAAAACAAGCTTTATTCCGGCTCTTTAAGTAAAGACCGTCTGCTTGTGTGGAAGCAAAATAGCAATATACAAAAAAATCTAAATCTACCCTACCCATACGAACCATGGACAAAATAA